CTAATATCAAAGGATTCAATTTGTTTTCTCACAACACCTAACCCTACAGTAGAAGTGGTTTTAACAAAGGCACGTAACGGGCTAAGTGATACAGACACTCACACGCAGACGTAAGATACACTTTGATTTAATACGCGCGCTACATAATTTTTTTTCGACGAAATAAACGGTAGGCTAATTTCACAAAGGTCACTTCCGAGACGTGCAAAGTATTACAAACATTGGCAACGTTGTAACCAAGTTTAAATTCGCAAGTTTGCTATCACAGAGTCATCCTTCTGTTCTTTTAACTATTATTTATTCTATGGTTTTAGGGCTCACGGCCTGATGAATCTAAGTTAGCCGTAATTTTTTGGTTCATTATTATGGGACGAACTGAGTATACCAAAGGAAACTGTGAGATTATAAATAAATAAACCAGTATTAATTTTATATAATTCATTTATTTAAATTGTATAGTATTCACATGTTGCTACGAGTTTCAAGACGTGAAACACCAGCTTTACATACAAAATGAGAACACAATGCTTTACAAAATAACTAGGTATAAAGAGAAATGCAGCGGTCGAACAAAAGCGAATTGTATGTTATAACTAGGACTGCTATATGTAAATTGTGATATAGCAAAATGAGACTTATGGCTTAAAATTACTTGGCAGTTAGCACGCGAGAGATGATGAATAAAAAAAATGATTACTTAATACTGATCAATGCCAAGTCGACATCTCGCGCGAGAACGAGAGTTATGCAATTCTGATGGCAGAAAATAGGCTAAGATCCCAAAAATGTGAAAAAAAAAACTATCACAATTCAAAAATCGACGGCTGAAGTGCGAATTAACTCTCAGCCCTCACGTTCTCCAATTAAGAACAAGTGGTAAATTTAAAATTTTGTACAAACGACTTCAATATGAATATAATTTATTGTTCATTTTTTTAAACCCCTCAACCGATTTCGATAAAATTTAAATGGGATCACCTGGGAAGTATACCCTTAAGAAACAAAAAAAAAAAAGAATTTTCCAAATCGGTTAAGGCGTCTTTGAGTAATCGGTGAACATACCTAAAAAAGATTCCGACGAATTGAGAACCTCCTCCTTTTTTGAAGTCGTTTGAAAAAACTATACAATAATTGACTAAGTAAATACCTTAAACCGCTACTCGGGTTAAAAAATAATAAGCCGGTTGTCTCTAATCAAGACGTCCGGATGATATTAAACTATTGAGCATAACAATATACGAAAGGCAGTCATCTTAATACAAATATTTAAAAAAAATGCTAAGTTTGAGTATAGTGAGATACTGTCAGAAAGTAAAATACTTTACGAGTTAATATGCTTAGACTTGTACAAACAGTATTCGTTATTTAAATTTATTCAATTTCACTTTGAACCTCACGGAGGAAAAGGAGTTTGTCGAAATATTTAATATTTCCTGGTTGTTGACCAAAACACGCATGTAAATTACAAAATTTTATTGAATTATGTAATAAACGCAACTTATTATTATAAATGATCAATATTAATATTATATAAAATACCTTTGTCATGTCTAGCCACGATATAGCTACAAGTTAAGCATTATTAACCCATTTACATTAAAGCATAACATTACAACAGTAATATGCATTTATTTTGTAAATTACAATACACTTGTATTTTATGCGCAATGTCATTACATATTAAAAAAAATTATAAATCTATTTGAAAATAAAAATGCTTTAATGTCGATTATACATATAACAATAGGCCCTTTGTAAATGTTACAAATATCGGAAGACAAAATAATTAATTTTAAAACACAAGTCAAACATATTGCACTGTAAATTAAAAATAAAAAGGGACTAGACACATTAATTGCACTGAACAATTTTTAACATCTTTACTAAACGATTTAATTTATACTCTACATTTCATTGGAAGAATTTTGATTCTGTACTCTTTGACACTTTATTAATATGCAAACGGTTCATTATGATTTAGTCCACTTTCAATATAATGTGTCTAGTCGAAATAAGAACTGCGAAATTGTGTTTACAACAACATAGCATATATTTGTTTTATTTGCAAAGCGAGATTAGTTAGCACTAACCAGTAATTTGTATATGTAGTATAGAATATTCTGAGAATAATCGTTGGTAAGATTGGATATGTTTGACAAACTTCAACAAAACGTTTGTATTACAATCATACAAGGAACCATTTTGTAGTTAAGTAGTAAAAAGCCGGATTATGCAAAAAAAAAATGTACTTATAATGCTACGCAATAAGTTGTAACTCTCCATAATATACAGAATGGCCATGTATATAATGTGTAGTTATTTATCTAATAACGCATCTATACCCACTGTATAAATCGTCAACTTATCACATTCACTACTCTATATTCATTTAAAAAAAAATCGCACAGCTTAGCTTCTTAACTAGCTTAAAAGGCCTTGTAACTATCTACCCTTAAGTCCTTTAAGAATTCCGATTATAAGGTCACCATTTCGTCGCGAATACAACATCACTATATCACTTGAGAGAAATTAACTAATTACACAATGTAACTTAAAAACGAATTACAAGTAGTAATTAAAAAATGATAAATTGATTTTGTAGGAAAATCGTTATAACACACACATTAATAGTTTAGTTCGCTTAAATCTATGTTTTTTCGAGAGAGAATTTTTATGAAAAAAAAAAACAGCCTATGACGCCAATTGTAATAACTTCAAAGCGTCAATAGACGGCGCATGCGCTTAAAGAAAATTCATTCAAAATCTTGTACCAATGACTGCAAGATTTTACGAATTTCGATTGAACGCGCACTACAAAACAAGTGATGGGCGCGAAAAAAATTCAAGTCTCGAAATTAACAAGTCGGGTTTCGGTAAAATGGTTCAAAGAGCTCCCTTAAACAGTGGTCGAGGTTTCCTATACACTAAACCAGACTTAGCAGGCACTAACAACGACACATTCGACTCGTGAACGTACGTACTCTTAATTAATACGTATACCAACATAGAAAACAGTAAAACACGTTAGATTACTCGCACAATTCCACTAGATGTCCAAATTACATATACATTATGTAGTCTTTATTTTATTTATTGAGATCAATAACGCCGGTACGCACTAAATTGAAGGCTCTTCGCAGAACGAGAATGTCCTTTTGTACCTCAACCACTGCCTTACAAATGATACACTTTAAACTACGTAGGAACATAAAAATGATTGTGCTTCATAAACACTACTATTCCAATCACTAAATTTAGATTTCTTTGAGCCGACAGCAATGTATAAGGTGTTAGGTTAGGGTTGGAGTCGTCTAAAAGAAATTTTTAATAATACTTTAAATAATTCGTATATTGCGATAATTAATTTAATTTTAACTGGTGTATTTTTCAGGAATTAACGCTAACGTAGCTTTATTCAGTTCTATATAATTGCAACAATTTACGCAAGAAAACTGGTCGTTTATTTGTACATTATAATCCATTCACTAATATTCTAGTATACACCAAATCTACGAATCACTATAAGGCAGTGGAGAGGCTCGTTACCGCACACACGTCACTTTTGTAGCACCAATGCCGCCGAACACCAACCGCTCGTCACAGTCGCCAAATATCTTCTTTTATATTCTGTCGTGTGTCAAAACTGTACTTGAATATGTACTTAAAATCCCATTGGCATTTCTTTTGTTTTTAGTTGGCTATATCAAATTTTGAAAATAAGTCTATTCATATTTCTACAAGAGAACGGAACGATAAAATGCGTACCGCGACTTAATAATTCCCCGCTACAATCGTAGAGCGCAGAACACAGATGCACACCAAGACGAATGAAGCCAGGGGGTGTCCACGTGCGCGGCAACAGTGTGCGTCGGCGGCGCAGGGAGAGCGGGGGGCGCAGTTAGCGCGGGGTTCGCGGGGGTCGCGGGGGGCATGAGGGGCACAGGGGGCGCAGGGGGCGCATCAGACGAGGTGGTCGCGGTCGTCGAGCGAGGCGTCGGAGTCGCGCTCGGCGCGCAGCTCGCGCTCGAGGTCGAGGCTGCGGCGCTCCAGCTCGAGCCGCGCGGGGCCCGCCGCGTGGGGTCGTCGCGGCGCTTCCAGGGACGACACCTGTTCGTGATTGCATTGTCATAAATAAAGCCACTATGGCCTAACAATAGTCAAGTAACACCCTACGTATGTCCTGTTGCAAATTATCTATTGAAAATTTTAACAATTTCTACTATTGCAAACCTCAATTGCACGTGTTTCACCTGGCTACTTATCTACAAATGAGGTTCTGGCAACCAAATAATAGAGATATATTCATTCGAAAGCGAAGAAGAAAAGTACGAAACTTAATTTTTTTATTTCTCTTTATTTCAATCTTGTAAATCTTTATTTAAAAAAAAATATCCACTACCACATATCGTCCCGTAGATGTCGTAAAAGGCGATAGAGAAAAACAAACCAGTAGATGGCAGCAGCGTCTTTCTAATAACAACTAGAAAATAAAACTGTGTTTGCCCACCCGCCTGAAAGCATGGCAACTTTGGTAAATATCCCCCCTTAAGAGGCAATCTTTGTCCTATGTTTAGCAGTAGACTTTAAAAGGCAGTAATGAATAAAAAAATAAAAATAAAATGTATCCAACCCGTTAGAGTGCTTTATCATGATGTGATGATGTGTGTGTCAGTCATATAGGAGCACTGTTTTTTTGTAAATTAATGGACAAATTGCTTACAGAATTTCAGCGAAAATAGCAACTTAATTGCTACTGTGTTTTGTATGGTAAGTGTAAACAACTTGATACCCTTTTAACTAGTTACGAGGCATTCTATCTTAATCCTCAAGAGTGACAGCGCGTCCTACAATTTAATTCTCAATTCTCTAGGTGTCTGTGGGTCACATCATCCACTTACCATCAGGTGGACTGTGTGACTGTTTATCACTCATATTCTATAAAAAAAACACAAAATATGTTAGAGTGGGACCTTGGCGAGGCGGCGGGCGGACGGCGGGCGCTAGGAGGGCGCGGGCAGGTGCGGCAGCTTGGCGGCCCAGTAGCGCCCCGACCCGCTCTCCTCCGACAGCGCCGCCTGCAGCTTCGCTTCTGCGGACATTGCACACTCTGTCTTCATTGGCCTCATCTTTATCACTTTAAGGAATTATCTGCACGAGCTATTCACGTAGCTGCTCCGTCCACGATACATAGACAAGTAAATATCGATATAATTATCATCGCAGCCCCGCAAAAGTTCACTTGAACATATACCTACCTGGTAGATAGACAATCCACCATGATCCTGGTGTTGATGATCCTGATGAAGACGACCTTCATCCATCGATTCCCTGCATGCGCCACATAAGATAGTCAAGCCATTTAGTGAAGAATCACCCTACTTCGCGTTTGTGTTCTTGCATGTCTTATAAAGTCGTCACTCCATCTAGTGGGGGATCGTCCTACACTTCGCCTACCGGTACGAGGCTGCCACTCGAGAACCTTTTCTCCCCATCGGTTGTCGGTTCTTCGAGCTCTATATGGCCAGTCCATTGCAACTTCAGCTTACTAATCCGTTGGGCTATGTCGGTCAATCTGGTCTACTGCAGATATCATTATTTCTAAGTTTATCACGCAAAAAAACCCCGAGCATAGCCCTCACCATAGGTCGCTGAGCGATATTGAGCGTCCTCATACGGTCAACAGGGAAGGACCACGTATCTATAAATCACCACTGGCGACAGGCATTGGTTGTTCAATCTCGTTTTCAGGTTTTGAGATATACCTGAAGAAAAGATGTGTTGTAATTTCCCGAACGCTGCCCAGCCGAGTTGAATCCGTCGATTGACCTCTCGGTCGAAGTTGAACTTACCTAGTCGGAATATTTGTCCCAGGTAAACATACTCGTCAACAACTTCGAACTTATTGCTCCCAACAACTACCGGCATAGGTGACATGGATATTACACATGATCTTTGTTTTGTCCATGTTCATCCTGAGACCTATCCGTTGGGAGACACTATTGTGGTCATTGAGCGATTCTGCTATAAGGACTATATCGTCGGCAAATCAAAGGTGAGTGATGTACTCGCCATTAATGTTAATACCGTATCCTTTACAGTCCAGTAGCTTGAAAACATTTTTCAATGCAGCGGTGAAGAGTTTTAGGGATATAACGTCATCCTGTCTTACACCTCTCTGCAGTTGGATAGGTCTCGTACTCTGGTTCTGTACTCGGATAGCAATCGTAGCCCTACTGTACAAACACTTCAGCACTTCGATATACCGAAGGTGTTAACCTTCGGTATATCGAAGTCTAGCCGTGCTAAAGGGACTCTAGCACCGCCCAAAATTCGACGAAATCAAAGGCTTTCTCATAGTCCACATACGCACGGCAAAGCTGATTGTACTCTTCGGTCTTCTCTACAATTTGCCGAAGGGTATGTATGTGGTCTATGGTACTAAATACTTTTTGAAAACCAGCTTGTTCGGGAGGGTGGAAGTCGTCGAGTCTTAGCACGGCTAAAGGGACTCTAGCACCGCCCAAATTTCGACGGAATCAAAGGCTTTCTCATAGTCCACATACGCAAGGCAAAGCTAATTGTACTCTTCGGTCTTCTCTACAATTTGCCGAAGGGTATGTATGTGGTCTATGGTACTAAATACTTTTTGAAAACCAGCTTGTTCGGGAGGCTGGAAGTCGTCCAGTCTTCGTACGAGACGATTCGTAATGACGCGGCTCAGAAGGGAAATCGGTCTGTAGTTCTTCAAGAGAGCATTGTCACCTTTCTTGAAGAACAAGACTACCGCACTTCTGCTCCACGCCTCCGGAGTAGTGCCACCATTGAGGACGGAATTAAAGAGCTTCTGAAGGACTTCAAGTACTGGTTTTCCACCCACTTTCAGAAGTTCCGCTGTAATTTCGGTGAAAAATGTGATTAGAGAGTTTTTGTGTTCTTCTGCGGCGGGTCTTGCAGAACTTAGCTCCAACCGCGTGAACAGTTTCAACGAGCTTGTCATTTATATCGTCCACTACATTACAATCTTCTAATGATCGCTACCAGTTGTCACCCTCGCGATCACTGAGACATCACTGAACAGTTGTCGTCTGGTCGTCATAAAGAAGTCAACCTCATTTTTTGTCGAACCGTCGGGGCTCGTCCAGGTCTATTTCCTTTCGGGCCGCTTTTGGAAGAAAGAGTTCATCATAAAGAGTTCCTCTTTCTCCATCAAGTCGGCCAGCTGCTGGTCCCTTGGGTTCCGTTACCCTATTCCGAAATTCCCTACTTTCAGCTCACCGTTCTCTCTCGTGCCTAGTTTTGCGTTGAAGTCTCCCATTAACACCGTATAGTGGGTTTTAGAGGAATGCATGGCTCTAGAGATATCCTCATACATTTCCTCCACTTCCTAATCGGGATGTGCCGAGGTTGGTGCGTAAACCTGTATGACCTTCAACGAATACAGTTTGGTGATTCTGAGTACGCAACCCTCGTCGACACACTCACAATCTTTACTACGTTGTTAACGAGGGACTTGTGGACGATAAATCCGACATTTCCTTGGGACAGATGGTCACCCTGCCGGTGATAGAACAAGTAGCTGGATTTAAGGGTTACCGTGTCCTCCCCCTCTCTTCGGACCTCAGATAATCCTATAATATCCCAGCGCAACTTGTCTATCTCTTCTTCCAGCTCCAGGATCTTCTCGTCAGTCCTCAGGGTGCGTGCGTTATATGTTGCCAGGTCGAGTCGCATTAGGTGGCAATCGAACCTCCGCCCGAGATTCTTAGCACTACCTGCCTCGCCGTTACCATGGTCGCCACCGTAGCCAGGAATAGCGGGGCCACCGGGACTGGGGGGCCGTCTCTTCCTAACTTTCTACAAGATTATGGAGCGTATAATTAATACTAACCGAACATACTTAAAATAAAATTATCCCTAAGCTATTGACAGTACGGGTTACGCCATAATCGGTCGACTTTCTAGTTATTACATATACTAGATAGAACCAGCACATATGGAGCGAGGCTTCAGAGAAAAATGAGGAAGCAATTGCTCAAAGGCCTTTGACAGGATTTGGCACGCTAGTCTCTAAGGCAAGCTTTCAGCGTACGGCTCATATTTAGGTCTTATCGTTTGATTGGTTGAGTAAATGATCCCACAGTCTTTGCGGAAGGCTGCTCTTCTGAACCTATGACGATGGACGCCGCCTATCCTCAGGGGACAAACCCGAACTTACACAGTATTTCTTTTATAAAAATATCTATGTTGGATAATGTTTTTCCATACTAGTGCAATTTACTTACTGGCGACTTGGGATGCGTTGAAGGTGACCGGAGTGCGCGCAAGGGGCGTCCGTAGGGAGCCGCTGCGACCGCCCACGCCCCCCGCGCCCCCCGCGCCCCCCGTGCCCGTCGCCGCGGCACCAGCCGCCCCCGTGCCCACACCCGCCCCCGCCGCCCCCGCGCCCGCAACTGCCGCACCCCCTGCGCCCCCCGCGCCGCCCGACTGCCGGCAACAGAAAAACCATATCTATACACAATTACTCGATACCACACAACATTAATTAAAGTACAAACTTCGAGCAACAATACATAAGTGTTCCCTTACAAATCTCCGTGATTTAAATTATACCTTGCTATGGCTAAACTCTTCAGCAGTTTATTCATTTATTTAAGAATTTATGTACACACAAACAACGGAAAGGACACAACATGATGAAGAGTTTGTACAAGGGCGCTACTTATTTCGTAATGAAATTTCTTTCAGTAGGCCAGTTACAAAGATATGTGATAAATAAAAGATATTAAGGTGTGCACTTTGTTATTATACAACACATACAAGATAAAATAGATATATTTATTTTAAATGTGTTTTACAAAATTAACAACAAAGACTAAAAAAAGCAATAAATTAAACAATTATATTGAAATCATTCATTCATTCATTAATTGCAGCCCATCAAAATTCCACTGCTGAACATAGGCCTATGCTAGGTAGGCGGGTTAGCAACCGCAGTTTTTATTATTTTGAATTGTTATCAGGAAAGCCAGCTGCTAATCTCCGGTTTCATTTCCCTCTGTCGCCTCTTACGACACCCATGCGATGATATAGTTCTATGGGGTAGTGGATCCTCATACGCAGCCGTTACACGAAATGTACTCAACTTAATATCTTAGATAATATTATAGCGCTTAAAGTACAAATCTCATTTAACATATTTAAAATTGGAACTCATAGTGTATTCGAGGTGCCATTTGCCGGACATTTTAAGTGTCTGATCTGAAGGTACAAATACCATATTATATCTGTTTCTTAGAAAGGTAAATACAGTATTAACAGGTATAAAAGTGCGCATAAAACTGTTATTACTTCGGCTTCTTTAGCTGAATGAAATCGAAGTGGCATACTGTTACACTACAATTTACGCTCTCTGGTTAGGACTAGAAGCTCGTCTTTGCAGAATCGTTAAATAGTATAAAACAAAGTAGCTTATCCGATTTTGTTTGTGTAATTGCTTAAAACTTTAAGCATCTTAATGCATTTCACCAATGGGGATGAAAACCAATGGTTAAATAACTTCTTGTGGTAGGTTAATATACGTATATGATACTTGCATATTTTATGTAAGCATAGTAAACAAATGTTTTGTGATCAAGTCATAAACACCTCACTGGTAATTCGCATTGATGTAAAGCCAAGGAGAGTTGTTTATGTTATAAGACCGTAAAGGAAACGGAATAAAAATAAGTTTATAAAAATTACTACATGATAACATAATATGAATCATAAAATAAGTTATGACCAAGCTAAGAAAAAATATATAATGTATGTATGCCTATGACTAAATAAAGAAAGAGATTGCATGCATAAAATATACAAATTACCTAATAATAAAAAAAATGATAATTACTGCTTTGACCAAAAAAGTTCGCAACTTATTGATAAATACTTAAAAATAAAATAGACAATGAGGCTGAATTTTAATTAAAACTCTTTTTTAATTAGTAAAAAAGAGTTTTAATTGTACAAGTTTTATTTTTGAATATTTGATCATAAAATAATAAAGTTTTCTATGTAATATTTTTTTTATCATCATATTGAAATGAACATTTTTAAAATAAGATTTAAAACGAGGAATTAAAACCGGTATAATAGTTTAATCAGCGGGATCAGACAAGTTGGTCTTACTACTATCGTTAACACAAATAAAAAAGTATGAAAATGAATGAAAATGATATATCACAACAATCACGTGACTAAACGTTGATTTCATTAATTTATACAGGATTATTTTGCGATATGGCCAAATTTGCAAAGAAGGTTCAGAATAAGTAATATCAATTAAAAATCCCTCATACATGGTAATGCATTATTTTAACTGATTGTTATTCATAAATATCTAACGCCTACTATTTTACTACTTACGCACACTTTCGTAAGGGTCGCTCGGTCACAAATTTAGGTAACGCACGCGTAAGCGTAAGCGCAAGCGTAGTTGTTACCCATAAAACACATTTAATTTGTGATTTCAAATAAGAGTAGAAGCCTCCTTACTCGTAATTTAAAAAATTTCAATTTTATATATTTGAACTTAATTATAAAATTTGGATACTCTTTGAAAAATAACCCTATACAGTTTTCTACAGCGTTAACGTAACATAGGAAGTCAACTAGGCTAACACCGCAAATATATCTATATCACCAGCGCTCATTGTCTTTACTGAAATAAATAAAAATAAAAAGCGTAACTAAGACAAACCTATTTGTCGGTGCATTTGGGCTGGGCGAGGCGTTTGACGTGGTGCGCTATACTAACGTGGTTGGCGGGCACGGGCTGGGCCTGTGCGTGCTGGTGCGGCTGCGCGTGCGCCTGCGGCTGCGCGTGCGACTGCGAGTGCGGCTGCGAGTGCGCGGCGTGCGCGGCGTGCGCAGCGTGCGGCTCGTCGTCGTGCGGCGGCCGCGGCAGCCGCCGGCGCAGCCACGCGTGGCGGAGCGCTTGTGCCGGCGTCAACCGCTTTTCCGGGTCCCATTCTAAGCATCTGCAAGGTGAATTTTATCGGTTCAATATCTTATAGAATATTATTACTATATGGCTGTTATAAAATATTATTATTATTTATACGTGCCAAAAACACGCTGCAGCTATCTTAGCACGAATGAACCAACTCGACCCCGTGGTAGGAACACGCTATCACAAAATATCAGCGTAAAATAGCAGCTTAATGCTGCTGTGTTTCGTATGGTGAGTGTAGAGAAGCAGTGGAGACCCGTCCTACTGAAAATGAAGCCTTACATCTCAGTCCTCGCGGTTAACAACGCATCTGCATTTTGATTTTTAATTGAGGATAAATGTAGATGTCTGTAGACTACAGCATCCACTTACCATCAACTGTGTGTTCGTTTGTTATCCTTATTCTATAATATAGTACTGCTCCAGTTCTGGATGTTAGATAAGACACATACCTATGATTATTTGTATGCAATTTCTCCATGTTTTCGTCCAATTTCTGAAAATGAGAAGAAAATGTTGGATTTTTCGGCCTGACTAGAATCCGGGACCTCATTATAAGCCATTGCGTTTACACCCAATAGACCAACGAGGCAGCCATTGTCGACAACAGGTAGCTCAGGACCGTACTTTGTGGCAATCTGGGGAAGGTCTATGTTCAGCAGTATACTTGGGATGGGCTGCTGAACTGATCTTTCAATAAGGAAAATGACAAAATTTTCTGCATCATTTAATCGCGTAGAGTAATGCTGCAGTGCGAATGGGTCTCCTATACCGGAGATGGACCGCACCCGCACAGAACACGAACGTGAAATAGCAACATAGTGCTTCTGTTTCGTTAGGTAATTGAGGAGACCCTTTATAATGGTAGCAAAGCAACCGCTTTTCTGCATTAACCAAGCTGCCTGTTTTACTTTTTCAAGAAGTAATAATAATGTCCTCCAGACCGTATTTCCGTCACGGCGGTCAGTCTCATCTGAGAGTAGCCATCGGCGCAGGAAAGGATTCTAATCCGAGTGTACGAGTATATCTACGTTTATTCCTTCACTCTCATAGTCCGATGGGAAGGTAATCGCAAGCAACGTTGTAGTAAATAACTCCTGGCGAAGTAGAAACGGCTTTGTTCTGGAGTGTTGAACTATTTAAGGTTGTTGATGTAGATACATTTCAACACTAAAACTATTTTGAACAGATTAATGTATAACTTCCATAAATTTAGCACCAACCTTCTTATGAAATCGATGAAGAACTTGTCCTGGCAGCCTTTCAGTGCAGTGACAAAACTTCTCGATCCGGGCAGACCTCTCGGCTTTCCTCTTCTTGACATACCTGGAACGAAAACGAAAATAAATGAGATTAGACTGTAAATTATATTTTTAACCGATTTCAAAAAGGAGGAGGTACTCAGTTCAACCGTAGGTTTTTTTAGTGTGTTACCTCACAACTTTTTCCAGGTGAACCGACTTTGTTGACTCTTTTTTTATTTGAAAGTTGGTGCTTCCTGACTCCTGACTGGTTCGACCAATAGTTTTTGAGTGATCCTTAATAATTTTAATTTATATTGAAGTCGGTTATACAACATTTTTAATTTTACCACTTGTTCTTCTTTGTCGGCAGCTCGTAAAAGTTTACTGTTTGGTAATGGGCCTTTCTCGTTTTAGAGAGGATCAATAGCTACGATTGGCTGGTAGCTCTAAAGTAGCCTTTTACATCGCCCATACTGCTACCACATGAAAACAAAATTCAAAATAAAAAATCAAAAATACGAAACAAAACATTAGCATGTCCATGTGGAAACGACGATGTACAAAATTTACAATGATATTTCGGGATAAGAAAGGGTTTATTTAAGTGATCTCTATTGTTTTAAAATTCAAGGAAATAAACCTCTTTTTAATACAGTCCGCACTTGTATGCCTCACGCAAAATAATGCTGATAAAATAAAATGCTGATTCGTCAAATTGTCAAACGTAAAAAAGGATTATGTAAAGTTGACATTTGACACAATTTAAAATAGTTTCAAAAGAGGTTAATAGTGTCCTAAAACCAAGGACCGATATTGATCTTCTAGAATTCTCTTTGCAAACAATAACAGTGCATCATACCTAATCCTGAGCTATTTGTATTTATGGAATAATCATTTCAAAAGCCAATAAAACTCGAATGGCTAGTGTATTTCATTGCCGACATAAATACGACCAAACTGGTGTGTAAATAGAATTAAGCGAGCGTCGTTATTGGCGGTTTTGCTGTTGTCGCATTTTCACGTCGTTATACGTCCATGGTCGTACCGTTACACTTTTATCACCAGATAACAATTGCAGACATTAAAAACCTAATTAGAAAATTCTAGGCTCTACAGTATAAAGCTAAGAACTCACCCGACGTTTTTTTGTATGGGGATACAGATTGTTTCAAACTGGAGGGAAATGAGAGGCCTGTGCCCAGCAATGGGGCATATAAAGGCTGTAACATATTACAACATCTTAGATGTTATAAGCGGCAAATTAGAAAACGGTTCAGGATCTGATCAAACCATCACATATTTATACGAGACGTAATAATATTTTATTATTCAATAAACCTACTTTTACGGATTTTATCGCATTTAATTATACTTATTTTTAATTCCCGACGTTTCGGGTACTTTACAGCACCCATGGTCAAGGTGGAGAGGGACTGAGGTGATTGACGTCGCGATAAAATCCGTATAAGAATTTTTTTCAATGTGTAGCGTTCGTGAAAATATAAGAAATAGTTAATATTTTATTAAATAATGTTTCATTAACAAAATAATTATTTACTTTTCAAGCATTACATACACTTTAACGTAAGAGCAAAACAAATTAAATTAAAATAAAAAAGTAGTAAATAAACAAAGTAACAATCTCGAATAAATTTGTCTACAATTCCAAGAGCAATTGCGATGAAGTAATGCCCCAATAACGAAATGCTTAACAGAATATATTAATATGTTAATTTGGCACAGTTCATTCCACCGACTTATTATACGCTGTTTTGTTAAATCACTGTTTATTGTCTCCGGAGACGTAACAATTGAACAGGCAGCGTACCTACCTACTGTAAACAAGCGTCGCGTCGTAGTCTCCGCGATCAGTCATAAAACTTGAGTTTCTTCTGGTTGGTTGCCAAGCGTAATGGGGTATACACACTAACGGTATTTATATTTTTTTATATAAAACTGAAGTGAAGAACTTTTTTTTGTTATTTGTTAGGAAAAACTTTACCTCCACACTAGGATTTTCTCTTATATCGTGGGGGCAGTTTACATACATAAATTTCACAAGAACTATTATAAAGAAAAATTATTTGTAGACCATACCAAAACTTGTACCGTGCGGGATTCGAACCCGCGGCCCTTGGCGCTGCAACTTATTGCTAAGCCACTCGAAAACTTGCACTTACGCATTTTGTTAAGATAGACTGAAGAGTCAGTTAATCATTATAAAAAGCTTCAATTTATCACCCGTTTCTGTGATATCGCTTTATCGATGGCTCTTCTGAGCAAATTATTTTTTCTTTTTATTATTACCACGTTTTTATTAACTCGCTTTAGTATATGGCTATTAACTCGTTTTAGTATATGGTTATTATATATTGATTTTAAACTAACTTCCCGATGATCTAGAAACTTGAAATTTTGAACATAGCTCGGAATCTGGTGACAATGTATGAATAACCGTTTTTGAAGTCTGTTTATATATTTAAAGTAAATCTTTTCCCTTTTTAGAGTGAACTAAGCAACATCATAAGCTGTAGCCAAGGTCTAAATAGTTACAATAAAACTTCATCGACAATTTTTGTAGAGAAATTTTTAATTAAAATAGACCTTTAGTGTTGTTCCCACATTATATAGTGGAAAAAACCCAAAAGGTCTATTTTAATATAAAAGTTAATGGATTTAGGCGTTTCCGAGAAATCGGCAAACATACATTAAAAAGACATACGCGTTAATAACATTTTTCACTATTCTATAGTCCCGCATTGTGATAGCAATTTTCCCGCAAATCCGTGCATAATGGTTGGCAAGCCTACTTGCTTGCCGATAAATTAACGTGTCCATGTCTGGGGCATGCAGATGATGTGGAGCTCCTTTTTGTTATCAATACACCTAGCGATTTATTAAATCTACAGTTGAATTTAGTCTCCATTCATAATTGTTAAAAAGAAAACTACATGCATTTGAATAGAAGAAAATGCTTTGTCTTAACCCTTTCGCTGTCCCGTGTACTACATAATATAGGTCATTGCCATTATGTCTGAAAACTGGACAGTGAAAGTGTGAACATTAGCAAAAACTTACTTTTGATTATAAAATAAATGGGCAAGTTCTTGATAGAAAACCCGTAGTTAAGTATCTTGGAACATTGTTTGATGAAAAGCTAACGTTTCACGCTCGCTACGAACATGTGGTGTATAAATGTACGAAGCTTCTTGGTTTTATATTTAGAACTGTCAAGACTTAAAAATGCTCGTAGCTTTCTCATTTCGTACTATTCGCTAGTAATAGTAGGTACGCAGTATTTCAGAGCGCAACACTATTATCTTGTCTCCACAAAGCACAAAGACTTCTACGTATAGTCTGTTCTTTAAGATAGTGTCGGTACACCCCGAGGTGCACTTATAATTTTGCTTTTATTTTATTATTTTTTATGAATATAAATATTAACCACATGTTAGGTAGCAAAGAAGTCTTAGTCCTCAGGGGCTGCAACGTATCTGCATTATGATCCCTAATTGATGACAGATGTATGTGTCTTTAGGCTGCAACATCAACTTACCACCGCTGAAAATCGTTTTTTTTTTTAAGGAATACTAGCAGTGATATTAACAATATCTACTAAGATTTCCATTAACCACTCTTATTCAGCTTAAAATGCTTGTGTTATAGTAGTTCATGAAAGCAGTCGAAAAACGGATTCGAACCTACGACCTTTCAGTTTTGTAATAAATATGCCACGCAGTTTTATTTTCATTTACGGCTGTTATACTGCTTTTAGTCAAATACTAAATAAATTTGTACATTATAATAATAATAATAATAATAATAATAATATTCCACAACTATCACACAACGCCATCTAGTCCCAAGCTAAGCAGAGCTTGTGTTATGGGTACTAGACAACTGATAAACATACTTATATATTTCTAAATACATAAATATTATAGATAAATTACACCCAGACACAGAACAAATGATCGTGCTCATCACACAAACATTTGTCCTGGGTGGGAATCGAACCCACGACCTCCGGCATAGCAGTCAGGGTCACTAACCACTAGACCAACAGGCATTACACATTACGTATGTAACTTTATTTAGTAACTGAAATAAACTTACAAGTAAAAAATCACGGTGACATAATGCGCACATAAGTGTGTGTAAGTAAATAAAGATTGTGTTTTCTTAGTCACATTAAACAAAATCAGCGTTATATTGTCGAAAACAACACGTGGTTTACAAAACAAAGAACTAGTCTTCTCGCCCACTCCCAGGCGACTAAAAGAGTTCTAGAGAATTATTACGTTGCCGCCCCTGATGACTAAGATGGAAGACCAGCTACCCGCTCAGCCGGCGCCCGTGCGATCCACAGCTGTGACACAGGTTTTGTTTTAAATTGCCTATCTAGTAGTATTCATAGAAGTCTTTGGGTCTCCATGCTACGCTGGCTACGTAAATCGTAATGTAAGTGTTCAAAATAAATTCTATTCATTCTATGCGATATTATGGTTTAAATAAAAGCCTGCCCTCATATGAAGATAGACTTAAAGTTTAACATTATGTCACTATCAAAATTATTTTTACCTTTTCAAAATTATTCATTTCCTTATTCATTCCCCCACCCTACTTTCATTTGTCAAGATTAACACTAAGCCCAATCGTCGGTATACTTTCTTAAACACTTGCTTTGCAAGTTAATAATAAAGTTAAAATTTACGCCGAGAATAACGTCCTTAACTTATCCCTTTTTTCCTAGTAAGAAAGTGTCCAAATATACAATGATTTATTTGTTAATAATAGCAAAAATATCAAACTATACAATAAAAAAAAATTATTTCTGATATACTTAGTAACTAATGCATTCAAGGCGTATATAATAAAAATTAAGCTTGGATATATAAATAGATAATTAATTTTCGACATTTATCACAACATTAATTGTGCTATAAACTAGTTAGCTTATATTTAATCATACTGTGTGCACATGTTTTGTAATACCATCCAGATTAATATGTTTATCTATATTTTGATAAAATCAAAATATAGATTCTGTTTTGTGTATTTAAATTTCTAAAAGAATTAAAAAAATGAAATTATATAAATCAAATTGAAGTGCCTGTCTGTAATATTGAAATAACTGGCTGCTTCTATTAAGTTTAAGAGGTTATTTGCATGTTATACATATACGATATAAATAACCATTTTTAAAAATGTTGTCTGTGTGTTTGTCTATCGAAATGGCTGAACAGATTGTGATGAAACTTAACGTACAGGGAAAAATGCCTCGGGAAATCTAGGCAATATTTGATGAAAATTGATAAAATATGTCTTTAATTATATTACATTTAAATAACGCTACATTAATTGATCATATCCAGGCAAAGCCGGGGCGGATCGCTAGTTTTTAATAAATATTTTTAGATATTAGAACCGATTGAAATATATATATTAAGAAAAATGTTTTTTTCAATAAAATCACCTAACAATCTCAGAAGCACGATATTACATCAAATACAATAACCTCGTCCACTTTTAAGTAGCTAAAAATTTGTCTACATTTTTATTCCATCACTTTTCACTGTCAAAGAAAACGTAGTTACATTTTGGGCACACATTAATACTTGTTCTAATTAGTCGATTTCTGAGAGAAATTTCACATCCGGCTAGCACTGTTCGATCCTACGAATATTCGTTAAAATTATTCAATGTTTTTTTTTTTCAGCCACTACGTAAGTTTGCTATTTTTAATTAAGTCTAACCCCTTTTCACTCTCCAAATAATTCAAGGAAGTAGAAATATTACCATCGTGACCGTGTTCATTATGCAATATTATGCATTTCGTAAATAGAAAGATTAAAGTTCAAAATATGTGATTATAATTTTCTTTTACGAACTCTTGATAGTATTGAAGAAACCCTGCTGAAAATAGTATATTAAAAAGAAAGGTAGGAATTGGCTATCTACTAGAGGATTTTAAATCGACTCACTTCATTAGAGTGCTCGCAATTAACATTTCTTCGTAAGATCTTTAATTATCTAAGTACTGTATCTCAAGGATTAAGTGAACTTTGCGAAACTTATCTTCAGAGATGCAAAATATTACCAATTTTCCATACACAATGAATCAGCTTTGTTAACTCACTGTTATTATTTACCATGACGATAACTAACTTGTTAAGATATGCCAAAAATCTAGCAGTGGGTTTGGAATTTGTGAATCAGTGTCGCACACTGCAGTTGTCGCGTCGACGGAAACCTACGGTGAGAGTATTTTTTAATGTAAATAAAATGACATTATAGATAAAAATAGATATGATTAAACGTTTGAAACGTTGTGTAGCTAACATGAATTCCTGAAGTGAGGACTTTTGCTTTTTATTATTAACTGCTGATGTAATAAGTTCATTGATATCTATCAGTATTTATTTCATTTCGTATGTTCCTAATAATCTAGGGTTTTCTTTTTATAAATATGAAGTGACAAACGAAATTACATTCCAACTACTCGAAGCAACTGTAACTTACTTCAAACAACGAAAGTTGCAACGCGTTGTTACGTCTTAGGACTAATATGAAATGCATCTAATTATACTGACTCTATTGTATAATTCAGAAGATCAGAACAGTTCTAGTCTCAGCAGTGCAGTGCTGTGTTCCGGTCCACTGCAACTACTACTGTAACAAAAACGTCAGCAGACTACTATCATAAGTCCACTGCTGAACATAAGCCTCCCGTGTACATTATCTCATAGTGGGGATATTTGCTATAGTTGCCACGCTTGACAGGCGGATTGGTAACCGAAGTTTATTATTATATCTTGTTATCGGAAAGGTGTTACTGCCCTGCCATCTTCTGGTTCAGTTTCCCATGTCACGTCTTATGACACCCACGGGATGATATGGAATAGTGGATTGCCTTACGCTGCCACTATACTGCGTAGTTGTTTATTACATTATATATAGTTCTTTTTCTTGTATACTCGCCGTACCTAGCCAGGCGTTGCTGTATCTCAAATAGTTTTTCAAAAATTATATAAAACACGCGCGTATTCGAATGCAATATTGTGTCAAAATTTCAAAGCAATCGGTGATGAACTATTGGTGATTTAAGATTTGAATAAATACGATTACATTTTTATTTATATAGATTAAAGAATAACTCAACAATTATTCTCCTATAACTTCGCATACTATTAGAAAATTATTTATTTTTTAATTAGAGAATGACGATATAGGTACCCTTAACCTTCCTGTCTCAGGGATTAGTAAATAAAAATCAAAGGGAATATAGGTATTTACATTTTGATTGACTAACTATTTTAACGTTACGGTATTAAAGCTAACAAATCATTTTAAAACACATTTATCCACTGTCAAACCAATGTCTTCTTCTTCTTGAAAAACCTTGACGTGGTCAGGTCTTTGATTATTATTTCCATGGCAATGATAATATAAATGATTAACCGAGTGGTTTCATCGGTAGTAGGTATGCTGGCTCTGGTAGGCTCTCAATAATAGAGACACTCTTTTGGTGTCACCTTGCTTGGATATTCGATGTAAAGCTTATTATTAAAGGAAGTTTTGCATTCATTATCAATATTAGAGACTTGGGCTGTTCAAAATGATCGTGACCAAAATAGGTGACTTACATGATAACAATGGTGACATTTTATATCTCTTGTAACACTATTATTTGGTCGGTGTGCGTGCAATATATTATATTTTTACTACAACAAATTTTCTAATTGCTACAAGCAATCTATTTATAAAAAGGCGTAATATTTTCTAGGCGAAGTGACGAGTATTAAAAAATTGTTTACCTGCACCAAGAACCGTGACCCCATCAGGAAGCGTGGTGGCAGTACAATACCGCGGAAGGCCTTTGCTACTAATGAAGTTTTTCGATCTCTTTCCCTGCTCGATGAGCTTCTGTGGTGGCATGCCTAGGAGTTCGATAATACACGCCATCTGGTCCAATTCATCTTCACCGGGTAGTAAGGGAAAGCCTGAAACGTGAACATAATTTACATAAATATTATGAGTGTTGTGGTGACAGGTAATAGAAACTAGAAGAACTAGGAATCATTTCGTTTCAAAGGTGTGGTTTTGACTAGAAAACTATAGAAAAGTTTAAGGCATACAAATGAACATTTTACAAGGTGTTACCCTAAAGGTTTTAAGAACTGACAAAGGAAACAATGTAAGCGAAAAAATTAATTGACTAAGGAATATTTTTACTAAAATTATAATAAATTTTTTTGTAATTTTTAGCGGCAATTCAAAAATGTTAGTATTGTACCAGAGAGCGCAAATTGAAGGAGAAAGATTCTTCCTCATCATTTATTTCTTGAAAACAAAATTATCTCATGGTTTATTACAAATTATATTCTGGTCACTTGTACATAACTTGATTATGACTGACATTTTATGAGGAGCCCTATCCAGAATCATTGTTTATAATTATTTCAATGAGTTTGAGCGTAGTCGTAACAATTTATTTATTTATTTATACTTTAATGCACAAAGTATAGTTGGACCATATGTTGGACTTAATGCCGTAGGACATTCTCTCCCGGTCAACCATTAGGTTTAGAGATAGGACATTTAAGGGGAGGTGAAGCAAAGATCAAAAAAGAAGGGGATTATAAAAGGTGAAATTATATAAAAGGCAGTGAATCTCAAAAATCAATTTGGCACGATCCTGACACACCTATCTCGCTTCCTTCACTTCCATAAATCTACGCATACATGCACGTAGGTTAAGGGTATTTTTAATGTGGCTCTCTAATGACCTATGAAGAAGGGTGAAATTAACGTATTTCAGTGCTAAAACTGACTATGAAGTAAGTGCTTCACGGCTCATGATAAAACATGTCAAGAGAGTAATATATCAACAGAATCGGGCAAACTTGAAAACCTGATCGTAACAAGGTTTACTGAATGGATACCCTTGACCAATGATAAAAAAAGCCCGTCGCATGGAATAATTTCATGAAATAATAATAAAGTACGACCGTTATGACACATCAAAATCTAAAAGAACTTGCACACTAAATTGCCGAGGTGTAGACTTGCTAGGGCTAAGTGTCTTTTTGGCTAGGTACCGTACTCTTACCTATTTCAGTCGTCAATAGCAGTGCTTACAACTATGTTCCGATCTAAAGGATATAGAGAACCAGTTCAATTACAAGCTGTAAGGCATTCCATCTTAGTCCTCAGAGAGGACAACGTATCTATAGCCGTCTTTGTTTAAACTTTGAAGTCCGGTCAGGTGCCCGTCATCTGACTAGGTGATGGACACCTGATCGGACTGCAGTATACTTAACATAAGGTGGAATGTAAGTTCGTTAGTCATGTCATTTTATAGGGTTCCGTACCTCAAAAGGAAAAAACGGAACCTTTATAGGATCACTTTGTTGTGCATCTGTCTGTCTGTCAATACCCCTTTTCTCAGGAACGCGTGGAGGTTTTAAGCTGAAATTCATATCAAATACTCAAGTCTACTGTCCCTTGGAGCTGTGAAAAAATCAAACTTTTAAGCCAACGTAATCAAAAGATACAGCCGTTTATGCCGCAAATTTTCGACGTTCGCAAGGGAATCAAAACCTACAGGGTAATTCCCGTGAACTCAGAATCTTAAAATTTGGTACGAAGCAACGTAGTATAGCACAGATAAAGGAAAAGTTGCGAAAAGCATAAACTTTTAGTTACATCATATAATAAAAATATTTTTAATAATTTTAAACTTATATACCTACACATTTGTTCGGAACCCTCGGTGCGCGAGTCCGACTCGCACTTGGCCGGTTTATTATTTAAAAAAAAAACAGTAAATGTTGACTTTCGAGGACTTGTCAACAAATGTAAAAAAAGAAAGAAGTCTAGGAAACGGTTGCCTCATTCTTTGAAACATATATTATGGTTGTAGCACGAATGGGTCGGCTCGACCGGGGAAGGACCACGCTCTCACAGAAGACCAGCGTAAAATAGCAGCTTAACGCTGCTGTGTTTCGTATGGTGAGTGTAGAGAACCGGAGACCCTTTTTACTGGCAAAGAGGCATTCCATCTTAGTCCTCACGGGTGACAACGCATCTGCATCTTGAGTCTTTATTGAGGATAGATGTAGATGTCTATGGGTCACAGTAACCACTTACCATCAGGTGGACTGTGTGCTCGTTTGTCACCCAATCCTATAAAAAAAAAAAAAAAAAAAAACAATGAAAAGAAGAAGCTCCTGTGACTTTTAAATTCAAAAACTTAACGGCAGCCAAGTATGATAATTATTATTATGTAATTGATAAATGCCAGACACTGCATCTGAATCCATCTGCCATTCGTCAGCAGTTCCGGTGTTGTATCACCCACTGAGTGTAGTATGGCTTCGATTGATTTGCTTATTTACTTGCTGACGGATTTAATGCGATTACAGTTCACAAATTCTTCTTTTTCTAATTCTAATACAAATTTAATTATTTAGTTGCTTTTTCTCGTTAATACATGTATCTTTACATAACCATAAACATTATTGCTTCAAATATTTACAAAGAATTTTCAGCTTTAGATAATACAGCAATTGTTTTCTGGACAAGAAATATAATTATAATATCTATATACAAATAAACTGCCTATAAAAACAAACCTGTTAGCAGCTCCGCCAATATGCACCCTAGCGACCACATGTCTATAGGCATGCCATATCGCGCGCCCATCATCACTTCGGGCGCTCGGTAGAACCTCGACTGAATGTAGGTGTACACGCGTTGGTGCTCGTAGCATGAACTGCCAAAGTCAATGACCTGAAAAGAAGAGGAGGACGTCAGAAAACTACTACGATTACGTTATCAATCTCAAGAAAAGTTTTCCGTGGCAAAACGTGACAAATCATTCATCGTTCATTTACAAATTATGGTTGGCTAACGAGCCGTTTAGTTTTACTGTCGTTTACCGTTTATCTCTGTCTTTTATTTATAGAATAATTGTGACAAACGAGCACACAGTCCACCTGATGGTAAGTGGATGCTATGGCTCATACACATCTATCCACGATTAAAAATCAAAATGCGTTTGCGTTGTTACACCTGAGGACTAAGATAAAATGCCTTGTTTCCAGTAAAAAGTGTCTCCGGTTCTCTACATTCACCATACTTGTGCGTACGTGAATGTTTTTCTTCCACGGTCAAATCGACCCATTCGTGCTACAATCATTATAAGCTGCAGTGTGGCTCTACCACGTATAAAATAACTGTTTTGATGAAGAGAAAGAATATTGATATATTTTGTATTCTTCCACTAGATTTAAACAGTTTTTAGGCTGTTTACATGTGCTTTATATACACTAATAAAATTGGTGGGGAGTCGTTATAATCATTTTTCTCGAAATACTCGAGACGGAAAATGTTCAATATTGTATGAACGTGTTGCATTCCTTCAAACTTAAAGGACAGTATGTAAATGTACTTTCATAAATTAAAACAACTTACAAAAGAAAATGGAAAAAGTTTAATGTATAATAATCAAATACAAAAGACACGCTTTCTTATATTTACTAACTACTAGCTGTAACCGGCGTATGTTGCAATGCCTTTTTTGTCAGAAACATTCGCGTGCGCGGGCACATCAACTGAACCAACAAAAAGCATTCTCTTTTATTTTGGTAATAAAATAAAATATATCTTTAGATTCCTTATGACATTGCTCCCTATCTGTTTGTAAAATTTCATCACAATAGATCCAGTCATTTCTAAGATTGACTCGGACAGACGGACAGACAGACAAAAATTTTAAAAATGGTTGTTTATGTCGTAAATGCATGTAAGCATTCCCTTGAGTTTAATAGAAGCCAGTTATTTCAATATTACAGACGGACACTTCAGTTTTGTGCCACATCACACATATAGAAAGGAAGGAACTAGAAATATACTACAAAAATAATCTAGATATTTATAAAGGCTAATTTGTAAGAGTGGCTGGAAGGGGTAGTGTGCGTCTCATTGTAAAAGAGAACGCATTCAATAAACTGCCAACCTGTTAAAGTAAATGACAAGTTCACCTGACCACTTTAAAAATCATCTTCAATTCAAACTCGCTAAGAGGTGAAGTTCCGGACATTACAATCACGAGTCTTGTGGGATAAAAGAGAATGTATGAGAGACGTTCTAGAAAAGCGAATTGGGCTAATCTCCTTCAGAATAAAATACATTCTTTTTTAAATTTAATACAGATTATAAATGATTCCTATTGAAAGTCATTTCTGTTTGAAAGTTTAATACTAAAATCCCCATACCTCCCACATGGATAATATTAACCCGACCCAATTATTATTATAAGTTTTTGATAAAAAATCTGATTTCAGACAAGGTTGGCAAGCCGAGTTTTTGGATGAGATGAATATAGCTGACGTCAGAAAACAGAATAGTTGAACATATGAAGAGCAAAGACTTAGCAATTACATTCTAAGTAACTAATAAAGTAAATCAAGCAAACTATACGAAGTGGTCATCTCATGAATATGGTATCTCACGACAGATTTCTATCCATGTGAATACCCAAGATCTTCAAATTGTCATATGGATAATTCTATAAAACACTATACTTAAATAATAATAATGATTTATTATAAGTTCGAATAAAACTTATTTTTTATTTCTTCAATTACTATTTACATCTTATTTGCTATTTGCTAGTGTCAGTGAACTACTTTTATTTTGTTTCTTTTTAACAACTGTAGTATTTTAGTATAATGTAATGTAATATAATTTTGTTTGGCACTATTAGTTATATTATATAAAATAATAATTTAAACAATAACACCCTACCTAATACTAAGCACAGACGTCAATTTTAAAGTCAATCATGTTTCACTATAAATTTTATCTATGGTCAACGCTATAACGTCAAAAAATAATTTACTTTTATAATTTTTTTTTAAACATTTGTAAAAGCCTACCTGAAAGAACGAAAAGAATAAAATAATTTCCACGTAACAGCTTCAGGAGTCGATGCTAATACGAAGTAATAAAGCCTCAACTTCAGAAGCCGTTTATGTAGAATTTCTTTTTTTTAGAATAAGGGTGACAAACGAGCCCACAGTCCACCTGATGGTAAGTGATTGCTGTGACCCATAGACATCTACATCTATCCTCGATTACGAATCAAAATGCAAATGCGTTGTCACCCGCGAGAACTAAGATGGAATGCCTCCTTTCCGGTAAAAAGGGTCTCTACATTCACCATACGAAACAGAGCAGCGTTAAGCTGTTATTTAACGGTAGTATTCTGTGAGAACGTGGTCTTTGCCCGGTCGAGCCGACCCATTCGTGCTACAACTATACTACTAATATAGCTGCAGCATGGCTCTACCACGTATAAAAAGATGATTTTTGACGACTTTGAGTGACACCTAAATAGTTATATTAAAATCTTCATACCCTTTTCCTCGCCTTTAGTAATGCGATTTTTTTCTTTAAATTTATATGGGAGCATCCCTAAAGAATGACGTGTTCAATAAAAGAAGTATCATTAAAATAGGTTCAGTCATTTCTGAGAAATCGGTGAACATACAAAAATTAATCACAAAAGCTGTATGTAGGCAAAATAGTTTCATATCGCTTTAATAAATTATGACAAATTGTTTAAATAATTGCGATCTTTTAGTCCGCAATAAAATGCGTTCCCACAATTCATTTTTCATACTCGCTCATCTTTAAGTCACCGCCTATTTAAGTAAGCAATATGTTTAAATAATCTCAGTTTCTGTGTTCTGTGGAAGTAATGTGTATGTATTAAATATGCGCGCGTTTTATATTAAAATTATTGCCCACTTCAAAGAGCAATGTTTTAATACTTTGCAAATAGAACGAGAATACCCCAATAATAGCAATGTAAAAGATATTTTCGTAGTTTTTCACTGGGGCTATATTTATACTATTGATGTGTGTTTATACTATTAAAATGTATATATAGGCTTATACTATAGCGCGGAAGAGCCATGCTTCAGAATTGTATACGTAGGTCACTCAATAAGTTTTGAGATGCTCTAAATTTAAAAATGGAACGCACCCGTGTTATATGTCTCTAAAAAGAAAATTTATTTAAAAATAGAACTCCATAAGCCAATTACTCAATATTAAAAATAACAAAGTTCTATTAATTGGTGGTACCACGACCTCACAGAATACCAGCGTGAAGTAGAGGTTTACCTCTGCGTTGCGTTTGGTGAGTGCAGGTGGCCGGAGGCCCAATTCCCCCCCCCCCCCCCCCCCATCAACATGGTAGTGGAATTAAATACAAGACTACCCCAGGAGGGTACCAGCAACCCTGGAGAATCCCTCGCTGAGCATCCACGAACAAACTACTTCACTCCTGAGCGTGGGTGCTCAGGCTGCCCCGCGTATTCTGGGGGGGGCAAAATTCCGCTCGTGACTAATGCTGCTCGGGGCAAGCGGAGCAATACAACCAAGGCGACCCCTGTCACGCTATCCGTGAATTTTTGCAACATCAGGGGACTTCATTCCAACCTTAACGCTGTCCATTACCATCTAGAGACGGCGAAGCCGGCCTTGCTCTTTTTAACCGAGACTCAGGTGTCCTCTCCGGCTGATACTTCATATCTCTCCTACCCGGGGTACAAATTGGAACACTCCTTTGTGCCCCGGGCTGGAGTTTGTGTATACGTCAGAGAGGACATCTGTTTTCGACGCCTCGGCAGCCTTGAAGGTACGGACCTGTCCATCCTATGGCTGCGCGTAGACAGCGACGACCATCCCCGCGTCTACGGGTGCCTCTATAGGTCCCATAGCGGTAATGCCGACACAGACCGACTCATCGACCACGTCCAAATGGCTGCAGACTCCGTGCTACAACAGGTCCCATCCGCAGAGATCGTGATACTCGGTGATTTCAACGCCCACCACGCTGAATGGCTTGGTTCTCGTTCAACCGATCATGCGGGTAGATCTGTCTATGACTTTGCTTTGGCATATGGTCTAACACAACTGGTTACTTCGCCTACGCGGATCCCAGATGTGGAAGACCATGTACCTTCCCTGTTGGACCTTCTGCTGACCTCTCATCCGGACGGATATCAGGTCTCCGTCGATGCCCCTCTGGGCTCTTCGGACCATTGTCTGATCCGGAGCACAGTGCCACTTACGCTCCAATCGCAGTTGCAATCTACAGCTTGCCGCCGTGTTTGGCACTATAGGTCAGCTGATTGTGACGGGATGCGGTCTTTTTTTGCATCCTACCCTTGGGGGCGGGTTTGCTTCTCGCCGGAAGATCCCAGCGTTGTTGCCGATTCTGTTGCTGATGTGGTACTTCAGGGTATGGAACTTTTTATTCCATCCTCTGTGGTGCCCATCGGAGGCAGATCCCAGCCATGGTTTGGTCGCTCCTGTAAAATAGCATCACGCTATAAGCAGGAGTGCTACCGGGCCTGGGCTGACGCATCAACGTCTCGGGATTTAAACACCAGCGCACTTAAAAAGAAGTATAATTCCGCCTCCAGGTCCTTCAAAAGCGTCATTGCCAAGGCAAGGTCTGAGCACATCGGCAGAATTGGCGAGAAGCTAGTTCGCCTTCCTTCGGGAACCCGTGCATTCTGGTCTCTCGCCAAGGCTGTCCAAGGGAACTTCTGTCAGCCATCCCTCCCATCTCTGCACAGAGAGGACGACTCACTGGCCCATGCCGCAAAAGAGAAAGCCGATCTGTTGTGCTCTCTTTTTGCGTCCAACTCGACTCTAGATGACGGGGGGAACACACCGCCGACCATCCCGCGATGTGAGTGCTCCATGCCGGATGTGCGATTTACACAGCGCTCGGTTCGCAAAGCACTCTTCTCCCTGGACGTCAGCAAGTCGAGTGGGCCCGATGGAGTCCCTTCCATTGTGCTGAAGACGTGTGCTCCGGAGTTGGCACCGGTTTTAACGCGTCTTTTCCGGTACTCCTACTCCCAAGGCGTAGTCCCGAATTCATGGAAGACAGCTTTGGTCCACCCGATCCCTAAAAAAGGCGACCGCTCAGACCCGTCCAACTACAGGCCTATCGCCATCACCTCCTTGTTCTCCAAAATAATGGAATCCATTATAAACTGCCAGCTCATGAGGTACCTTGAGGATGGATCACCAGCTGATCAGTGACCGTCAGTACGGTTTTCGTCGGGGTCGATCAGCAGGTGATCTTTTAGTTTACTTAACTCATAGATGGGCGGAGGCAGTAGAGTCCAAGGGGGAGGCATTGGCCGTTAGTTTGGACATAGCGAAGGCCTTCGATCGGGTCTGGCACAAGGCGCTTCTTTCGAAGCTTCCTTCCTATGGGCTTTCCGAGAAATTGTGCAAATGGATCACCAGTTTCCTTGCTGATCGGAGCATCAAGGTCGTAGTAGACGGTGCATGCTCTGATTACAAGCCTATCAACGCTGGTGTTCCACAAGGCTGCGTGCTATCACCAACGCTGTTTCTCCTGCATATCAATGATATGTTGCTAACTGGTAGCATTCATTGCTATGCAGACGACAGCACTGGGGATGCCTTATATACCGGCCGTGCCAATATTTCTCGGGAAAACGTCGCCGAGTACCGGGACAAACTTGTGTCTGAAGTCGAGTCTTTGCTTAACAAAGTCTCGGATTGGGGCCGACTAAATCTAGTCCAGTTCAATCCCCAGAAGACACAAGTTTGCGCGTTTACCGCTAAAAAGAACCCCTTTGTCGTATCTCCTCAGTTTCAAGGCACTCCCCTTGCTGCCTCAGCCAGTATCGGAATCCTTGGCGTCGACATATCGAATAGCGTGCAGTTTCGTGGTCACTTGGAAGGGAAGGCCAAATTGGCCTCTAAAAAGCTTGGCGTGCTCAGCAGAGCGAGACAGTATTTCATGCCGGCACATCGCTTGCAACTTTACAAAGCGCAAGTTCGGCCCCACATGGAATACTGTTCTCATCTCTGGGCCGGGGCACCCCAGTGCCAGCTCCTTCCACTTGACCGCATCCAGCGCAGAGCGATTCGAATCGTCGACGACCGAGTTCTTTCCGATCGGCTCGATACACTGGCACTGCGTAGAGATGTTGCATCTCTTTGCGTATTTTATCGCATCTATCACGGGGAGTGCTCTGAGGAATTGTTCGGACTAATTCCAGCCGCTCAATTTCACCATCGCACGTCGCGACAAAACTCGCGTTACCATCCATACCATCTGGATGATTGGCGGTCCACCACTGTGCGATTTAGAAGAAGTTTTCTCCCTCGCACAACTTCTTTGTGGAATCAATTACCACCAGCGAATTTTCCGAACCGATAC